AATACATTAAAGAAGTTCTTTCTAGACCACCAAAAAAAATTAAAAAATATAGCACAACAAAATGTAAAATTTTGGAAAAAAACGAATTTCTAAATTTTTGATAAAACTCTTATTATTTTGAAAATATATATGGAATTTTTTGTAAATCCTTAATTTGTCTTAGAAGATATTATAAACGTTGTTCGTTTATGTATGGGTAATATTTGTATGTTTAAAATAATTTTATGATTCGTTTTTTTTTAATTTTAAATATTATTTCTATTGAAATGTGATAAACACTTTTTATAGAATATTTAAATGTAAGAAACCATTTTTATCTAGCCAGTCGTACTATTTCTTCCCGTGCAGTCTTGTTCAACGTTTACGTTCTCCATGAAGTTTCTGTTTCTGCTGCTTAACATTCATTTTTCCGTTGCGTCAACGGACTTTCAATATTCTTTGGCATGCTTTTTGTTCTGCCAAGGGGGTTGTGTTGGGGTCTGGGGTCTCAGAGGTCTCTTGTCTGTTGTGGATATGATAATTTCCATAGCTCCATGCCTCTGACACACATTTGCACTCACCATTTTTGAAGCTCGACTCCGCGCCGCGTATCCACAAGCTACAAAATCGATTCTCCTTGAGAAGTGGCAGTGGGAATTCGATTAGATTGGATTGGATTGATCTGGTTCGATTGGATTGCTTTTGCTATTTAGTTAGGCGATTGTACGTTCGAGACACTGCAAATTGTCGTGGCTAACCGCACATATTTTGCCACTAGTCACTAGTCACTTTCAAAAATCCTGGCCCCCAAAAAGGCAGAAAGAAGTGGACCGCTTGTCGCTTCGAACTCGCACGTTGGACTGAAAAACTGAAACTGATTCGAGCGCTGCCGCCGCCAGCTGCCAAGACAAGGCGACGACAACAACGGCCACGGCAGAGACGCTGACGTCGACACTTAGGAAAAATATTGGAATATTTCGAAAACAAATACTCTCCAAAAGGATATGTAACAAATTGTGGCTTGAAAATGTAATATGTTGATTTTTTACGGAAGGATCTGTAAAATAATATTAGAAAAACGTGAACTAAAATGAGTTAAGTTAAGTATTTTTAAAATTGTAAATAATTATGGAATTATTTAAACAAGAGTCGTCATCAAAATAATTAAAGTTTCTAAGTATAGATTAAATGATTTTACTTTAGAATTCCTAATAGAAATTTTCTATTAGAACCTATTCAACTCTTAAATATTAATATTTTTAAAGTATTCTGATATTTTTCTTATCAACTATGATCTTTAAGAATGCCATATAATATGGAGTTTTTTCTCTGTGCATTGAATGGAGCAGCGGAGAGTAGAGCCGAGCTTAGTTTGGCCCCCGGATTGAGCAGGGTTTTGGTTTCGGTTTTTGTTGCTTTGGTGTTTGGTGTTTTGTGTTTGACAACTGAGCTGAGCTTCATTTTCAGTTTCAGGTCCGCCACGTACGAGCGCCATATACGAGCAGTCCAACAACAAAACAAAGGCACCAGAAGCAGCGGCAGCAGCATAAAAACAGTTTTCGGTTTGCAGTCCGCGAGCTGTGAGCTGCATGGAAAATTAAATTTGCTGCGTTGCCTTTGGTCGGCTCTTTCGTTCAGCCGCTGTTATCCAGTGGACTAGACAATAACCAAAGCCATTCAATCAAGCCGTCTCGTCGTTCAACCAAACCCCTTTCAACCAACCCTCTTTCAACCAAACCCCTTTCAACCGGTTTTGATTTCAGGCCTTATAACGTCATTGAATCAATCACAGATTTAGGCAATTTCAATTTTGTTACTAATTTATTTTATGGCAGCCACATTTATTATTAATTTTTACTAGAGATGAACGTCCATAATTGCGTAGTAAAAATATTTTACAAGGAGTTTTCAATCATATTACAACAGCAAATAAAAATGGGCTAGATATTAAAAATATTAATGTTTATTATTCATGGCTCGTTAAAATCGGATTTAAGTACCTACTCTTTATTACCATTAAAAACTAATAATTTAAGGGGTTTTAGAAGATATTACTTTTCAATCAGAAATAAATATTTAGTTTTTCTACACTTTATAACTTGGTTATAAGCAGAATGTTAAAATAATATAAATTTAATTATTTGGAATTTAACTTTAAATTGATTTAATTTATTTAATAAATAGTATTACATCATAAAAAATATAATCAAAATAAATAAATAAAATAAACAGTGCTAAGCAATTTTTAAAAACCTATTTATTTCTCAAATTTAAATAGGTTAACACTATTGATTTGCTAACTAAGCCGGTTGATACTAGGTAACTCCCCCACCCACCCACTGGGTTGGCGGCAGGTAGCCCATCATTTGTTATCGGATTCGGATTCCGATTCGGTTTGGGATTTGGTAAACAAACATGTTTGATTAGCATAAAGACAAACGGCCAAAAGCCGTGTCAGCCAAATGTCTCCCAACTGATCCTCATCTTCCTCTTAATTTCCATCTGCGACTGCGTTAAATGCAAATTCGAAATATGATTTACAAAATACGCAGCGCATAACACTTGGCTGACGTTTCACACGATAGAAAGCAGGAGGCAGCCGGGGTTAATTAGCATATATGGGTTTTGTATGGGTTTTGTGTGAAGGGGTTTCATAAGCGAACCTGACCTGGGATCACCACGCCCCTCGTCTTCCAATCAATGAAACATATTGCTCTCCAAATGAAAAGGAAAGTTCAGTTTAAAGTGGGCACTTTAGAGTTCTAAGCCTGGGTTTCCTTTAGCTCAGAAACAGAGTCTTCTCACGCTTTGCATGCCATAAATTTCACCGCCTTTCACTGTAAATCATTTGGCCAACTTAATTGCGTGCATTTTAATGCCCACCATTCCATTCCATTGCGTGCCATTTGCCATTTGATGTTTGCTATTTGCAGCTTGCAGCAGCTTTTGCTTTTTGCAATTCTGTGTGTGCCAGTTTTCCCTGAAAGAAAACTCTTCCATGCGATGCTCTGTTTCGCAAGGGGGCCAAAGAGTTTCACATAAAAAAAACATAAAATAAAAAACAAAAAATCCATAAACAGAAAACCGAAAGCCAGGAAGAAGTGATCTGGTCTATTCGAATGGCGATTACCCCTTGTATTGTCTATGCGGTTCAGGTGGGACCTTATCGACGAGTGCATTGGCTTGGCTTTCGAAATCAGTGGCTATACCGATTGAATATCAAATCGAACGACTTAACCTTCACTCCAGCAAGTTCGTGCCTTAAGTCTTTTGTTTTCGTACAAGCACACTCACACACATACTTATATACAAACTGAAAGTGAAATTTCTTTGTAGGTAATTTCGTTGGCTGCCTTTATGATTTTGGTAATTGTTGAAAAAGAAAGGCACTCACAATCGCATCACATCGCTGATAAGAAACGTGATTTAATTTTTAGCTACAAATTATGAAAAACATATGCCGCCGCCTTTTCACTTTTCAATGGCCTTGCCTGGGGGGCCTTGTCTTTTATTTTTTGTATATTTTGTTTTTTCTTACTCGCATTTAACAACAGATTGTGTGGAATCGAAGCATCGCGGGTGCCCTGGTCATCTGGTCATCTTGAATGAGTTGTGGCTGCGGAAGAACAAAAACTCGTCTGGGAGTTGTCCGCTGATTTTGCGCTGTAATTTTCGAGTGTGTGAGCTGCTCTTTCCGAAAAAAAGGTAACCACTATCTTCATATGGTTAGGTTTTATAAAGAAGAATTTTTGTATATTATTTTCTAACAACTTCATCATTAAAAGTTTACAATTTTAGTTCTTCATAAAAAGAGAAATTCAAGTAAAAAGCTTTTTTATATTTATTAAAAAGAATAAAAATAGCTTTATAGGTTTGTTTTTCTTTAAAAATACATTATTAAAATAAATTACCAAAAGTTCCATAATTTTATGCCAACAATTTTGGCTCATCGTAAAGAAAGATTCAAGAAAAGAGCTTTTTTAATATCAATAAACAAGTTATAAATACCTTTTTTATAACTTCAATATCAATTTAAAATGCTATTTATGAAATTGACTTTAAAATGCGTATCAAAAAACTAAAAACTGTTATTTTTTGGCTTATTAAATTTCTCCACATAATTAGAAAGTAATTTCAAGGTGAGTTAAAAATGTATAGCTATTTATAATCATTATATATTGATGCATTAACTCTATTAATGAACAAACAACGAGGAATGTCACATAGAATTATGGATGAAAAATGTTTAACAATTATTGCTACACCTTAATCAAGATTAAAATGTTTAAAAAAACTTCTGGGCAATATCATAAATATTTCAACCTTAAAAATAGGAGTTCCCGGAATATCTAAATATTAATCCATTTGGGTTTTTGATTCACCCAAAAAATGCCCAACCCAAAATCACTATTTTATGAGTTTTTAAAGCAGAGCATTGGATGTTTAGTGCTCCAAATAGCATCTCGCTTTTTTTCCCCTGCTCTTTGGCTTTTCCTTCCTGCCATTGTGGCCCAGAGACAATGATGGAGCTGCACTTGGGTACTTCGATGCCTGGCTGTCTTGGGGGAGGAGCTCGAGGAACTGGAGTGACGATAGCGATCTGCTTTCGCTGCCCCTTAATCAGCCAGTCATCGGCGAACGAGCAAGCTCACCCGGTAGTTGGTAGTTGGGCTTATTTGCCTTTTGTTTGTTTTACTTTTGTTTTGGGTGTTTATATTTTGTTTTTTATCTCTGTGGTTTTTTTGTTCAGTTCCCTCCACAAGATTGATGCGAGAACAAGGTTTGTCGCTTAGGTCTTTTGTACAACGGCGGTGGCTTTGGATCTCTATTGCTACTGCCTTTGCCGGATGTGTTCTAATAAAGCGGATAAATGCGGTTTCAAGGCCTCGACTCACTAGGTTGACCTCAGCACGCTTTTAATCGTAACAAAATATATGTATAATCTCAGATTCACAGCGGAATGGAGCGCTGATTTCTTGATAGATGATCAGCTCGATCTTGGCCAGGTATTTGGTAGACTTTTAGTAGACATAGAAGAGGCTGGAACCCATGCTTGAGCTCGAGCCACTGGATGAGGAAGTGCTGGCCTCTGAAGTCGGGGTTTTCTTCTCTTTCCTTCTGGTTTGGGTTTTCCATCTCTGCCAAATACGCTTAAGGATTCCTGGTAAAAATTTGGAGGAATGTTTTTTACTCTCAATCCTGGGGGATTCTGGAGGGGTGAGGGGTTCTACTAAAGATTGGGGTTCAACTTCAGGAGGCACAAAAATGGGCAGTAATGGGGAAGAAGGTAATGAACCCGGCAAAGGTTTCTGCAAACCCTCCAGCACCATTTTCAGATTCTCCCTGAGATTTTTGTACTGATCTGCCTGTAAGCTACAATCAAATGGATTCTTTTGACTGGGATAGGACTCCGGCAATCGCAATTTTCTAATGGGAAGTGGAGTCTTCTGGCGCTTTCGTCTACGAAGACGAGGCGGTGGCTTTGGAGCTGCAGGAGGTGAAGGAGCTTGACGTTTCACGGCTCTGGCCACTCGAATGTCTAGCACTAAACGCTCTGCACTGCTCGAAGCACTACAATTTAGGCGCCAGCTAAGAAAAAACCTCTTAGAAAATCCTTAAAAATTCTAAAATATCAATAACTTACCCCACTAGAATCAAAATCGCATTATAAACCGGCAAAGCCAACAATCCGAGTATTAAAAGCCTTATTAGAGGACACGAGGATTGCTGTAGCTGGACTAACCAATCCATAGAACAGCAACCAATAGAATCATCCAACATTTCCCGACTTTGGTTAACCGCACTCAAGGCTTTCATCCCATCACCTGACCAGGAGAAAGACTTTGGCAGGATGTTAGCCATGAAGCAACCAAACGACTCCCAGCACAGCAACTTCATTGTTTATTTTGATGCCTATTACTTTGGATTGTAAGTAATAGTGTGTGCCTAGAAAAATGTATAAAAAGATTGACTTGGGATGCCAGGAAAGGGTGTGTATTTAATTTATTAAAAACATTTTCCAAAGAAGCAAAGAAAAAAAGTTTAAATCTTTTTCATATTTATTTTGTAAAATCAAGATAAATAGATAAATTTTCCTTAAATTAAATCTCAAGTTGTAGTTCACTCCCTCTTGCGCTTGGGTTGATCCACGTAAAAGTCGTCGCTTTCCTCCAGATAATCCACATTTGTCTCTGCGTTAACAGGAAGGTATCTGTAGCATAAGCATTGTGGCAAACCCACGGGCAACATGCCGGGTGCCACAAAGTTCCCCTCCCCCAAGGAAACCAAAGTTGCTTCTGATAGATTTCTCAACGATTTCAAGCGGCATCTCAATAAGTGAGTGCAGCAGATGACAGGCAGGAGGAGCAAGGAGAATAGAAAAAGCCAGAACCAAATGGCGTTCTAGGAAAGGATGAATAATAATTAAATTTTAAGTAATGTATAAAAACTTATAACAGTTACGGTCCCTGATAAAAACCTTAAGTAACTTAATAATTTGTTTTTCTTGATTGAGTGCCAATCGATTGGAAAGCTAATTAAAGCTCAGAAAGGTATGACATTCCATTTTGTTACCATTGGTTGCTTTGTTTTTGACAATAAGCGAATAACCTAAGCTAAATTAAAAAAAAAAACCTACAGTTTTAAATAAAATCTTTTAAAATAAATAATGGTTGCATCAACCACCAATAAGTTTATGCAAACATATTTTTCTTGGTTCGAATTATTTGCTTATTAACTTTATGCAAACATATTTTTCTGCGTACAAATTATTTGCGGAGTGAACGGTTAAAAGAGACTCGCATAATCAATGTAAAACATTGTATGGGGGAATTCCCCCGAACTAACCATTGGCTTAGCAATCCGATTGCAGAGATCGTTGTACTCCGCCTTGGCCTGATCCTCCACTCGGGTGAGCGGCTCACAGCTCTCCATCTCGCCCTTAGTTTCCTCATCTACCATGCGAATGTACACATTTAAGTATGATTCCACAAAACCACTGATATTACGGGCCACCTCATCGGTTACATTTTTGGCATCGTATCGCAGGAACTCATCACCTTGATGGATTTTGGCCAGCAAATAGTTAAGGTACTTGGCAAAGTTACCATATCCTCCTGAGAGAAGCTGATCTAGTCGATTTATGATCTCCATCAATCTTTGAACCTTCGAGGCCAAGGGTTTTCCCAGATGTCTTTCAAAGGCTTTTAAGTAAGCCGTCTGATCTCGCAAAGTAGATCCTGATTTTAAGGTATCCGCCAGGTTATCTAGTTTTATAGTCAACTCTGTTAAGGAACCTGGCTTGGGTTCCGGCACCAATTCAGGACACAAGTGTTTGGTGAAGAATTTACTCTCATATCTGGAGAGATTACCCCTTAGAAATTCTACGGCCATCCTGGCAGCCTTGGGGTGAATATAGCCAAGTTCGCGTTGGGATAAAGAGGTATCAATTTTCTCTAGGGATTCCCAAACATCTTTCATCACATCCTTGCGAAAGCCTTCCAAGTTATAGACCTCCCTTAGATTTAGTATATTATAAAGACTTTCGTTGCGAAGGCAACTGTGCAAAATATCCGAGGTTGTCAGCATGGGAAGTGATTGAGGAATGGTAAAGTTTTCTGGGAGATACTCATTGGGATTAATGTATTTAGGTTCCAGAGGCTGCGGGGGTTTCCTGTGGGTAATGAATACTAGATTATCATTATCCTTAATTGGTAATTCTTACCTAATACAAAAAGCTTGATATAACAAAGCTCCGTGAACCAAATAGAAAAGCACCAGAAAAATGCAAATCGAGAAAAGTATGAATATTAAAATCAAGGTAATGCAAAGCAGCCAACTGGCCACTTTTGGACTGGACAGAGCCACCAGAAGACTGGAGAGCAGGAGCAGGGGCACCAGCATCATTAACACAACGATGCCAATAGTGGTTCCATACCATGATGATCCTAGTTTTCTTCGAAGGGCTCCAACAGGATTAGATCTAGATCTATGTTTTTCTTTAACCTCTATCCTCTGATTTTTCCTCATCTCATCGATGACCCCACGCAACACTTTCAAAGATGCTTCGTAGCGCTTTTGCAGCTCCTTGGCTTGGGGTGAGATTATAGTGTTTTTATCGGTAGCTTCTAAGATTATTTAGCTTACCGCTCTTATCAACATCTTTCTTAATGGCTTTTAATAAATCACGCATCTGATTCCTGATCGCCTGGGACATCTCTTGCAATTGCTGAACGGCCTTTTGAGGATAGGCTATTAACCGGCTGTCTGTAACTTCTTGAACGGATTTAAGAAGGGGTTCGGTTTTGGGTAACTTAAAGCAGAAAAAAATACTAAAAAAAATTACAATTTGTTTCTAAATTAAAAAATGTAAAATTCAGTTATACATTATCATATTGCAAGCATCCCTTGTCAAGCATTCGGATGCTTTGCTCACGGTAGAACTTCAGGCACTCCTTTTGCTTACACTGAGAGGTAAGAAACGCCGTAAGATCCAGTTTAATGCCTTGTAAAGCTAAGGATGATTGGCTATTGAATCACTGGATCTAACAGGAAGATAATATAACGCACCATTACGCAACCTGGTGGCCAAACGTTTGGCACTGGGTAACTCTTCGTTGAATCGTTTCATAAGTGGCTTAATATATGGCAAATTCTTTAGAACTTCGCTCAGGTTTTCTATTTCTTCGGCTTGAACCTCCAACTGATTACGGAACTCAGTGACGTTAGCTTTATCCGGTATAACTTCCTGAATTATCTTCACCAACTGATCGTAGTTGATAACATACAGGTGATGCATGTGATCCGACGTGGTTCGTAGTACATATTCGTCATTTGGTTTGCTAGAGTTGATTGTCAGGCAATCAGTTTTCTTGAGACTCTTAAGGTTTCTTTTCAGCTGGGTGGCAGCCAAAATGGCAAAAATAAGAAATAAACTAGGAATTAATCCAAAATCTCTGTGGCCTATGGGATAAAAATACATACTTACAGCATCAAAAAGGCCAAAATAGCTAAAATAATGCCACAGCAATAGCGAATGCCTTTGCTCGACTTTTGTGTCTCCTTACAACGCGCACAACAGCAGGCATAAATTAAACTAATTAAAATTATAATTCCATAAGTATTATATCTCTACAAAAATCTAGCACATCTCACCCAAAAATGGGAACCATTATAAAAAGAAGCAATAATATTGGAATAAAAATCTTTAGTCCCGGCTGGGTAACTAAATACTCAGCCCAGTCATCCTTCTCCGCCTTTGATCCAATGTCATTCCCATACTTCGATATATAATCTTTGGGCACTTGCTTGGAACCTGAGACAACAGCGCCAGTGAAAACATGGGGTAAATAATTTATGGGAGCCAAAGAGTCCACATATCCGTCGTTCTGATCATCTTTCGATCTGATTTCTGCCTCTAGATCCTTATTTTGTGGTTGGAACTTTAGAAACTTAATCAGAGATCCCTGTTCAATCGGAATATTTGAGGAAAGTGTATGATTGGACTGGCAATTAACCAATAAAAGTCGAAGAAAAGGAAATTCAAGCCAAAGAAGGATATAATAAATACGTTTCATACTTTTAAACTATCTTTATCAACAGGTATGATTACTAAGCTAAAGATTGCTTTGATAAGAAAGAAGTAAATTTCGAATCTTAATTTCAGGAATTTATCTAGATAACCTTAAGAAACCTCGTAAAACCCTTTGTTTTTAAAACTCGCCTATTCGTACATAAAACCACTTGAAGTTTATTGACAAAATTTTGCAAACGACAGAGACAACCATCAACGGAGCTCGATGATTGACTGGCAACTGGGTTTTCTGTATTGTGTTTCTTTGTGTTTTCCGGGTTCTTATTCGATAATCTTTTTAGTTGCGCTGGGCAATATTGATACATGGTTACTTGACTTAAGCGGAAATCATTTAATGTACGTCAAAATGTAAAATACAACATACATTCTTACTTGTATAATAATACTAAAATTATGTAATTGTGTAATCCGTACAGTATCGCGTGTCTCGTTTATTTGTGTATGGTGTTTATAGGGTTTTTCTTGTTTTTAGATCCTAGACAATACAATTGGAAACGTTTAAATGCTTTAGGGGTTGGTTTTCGCTTTTCGCTTTTGGTTTTCACTTACTAAACTATGACAACGTGTTAAAATACGTGTTACATTCAAGTATTCGTATCTCGAATCTGTAGCTGCTTGGGGTTTTCTTTAATTGGATTCTGGTATATCAGTGTCCGAGTGCACAATTTGTTCGGTTTTAAGGAAGTGTGTAGTGTTTGTATTGTTTCTAAAATAAATACATTAAATGCATTGAATAACTTCTGCTCTTTTTTTCTAAATTAAAATGGCAGTTTTGGTATTGATCATATTTTCTTTTGTGTTTTCCGCGATTTTGATTTCCTGGAAGTTTACAGATTCCATAAAGTGTTTGATTGGTTATTATTTATGTAGTTGCTTGCTAGAGATATTGTTTATTATCTTTCTTTTCTTTTTTTGGGTATGTCTCGCCTGCTCTGAGAGTGTGTGTGCATAATTAAAAATTATGAGATTCCTTAAAGCTTCTGCGGCCGTGCGGCCCGGCGAATGGCCAACTTCTTCAAGGGACTCATCAGATCCTACGCCTGCCGCTCGGCCTTCTATAGCCCGGAGTCTCCAGACTCTAGACTCCAAACTCCAGACTCCAGAGTTCATTAAATGCTCCGTCGGATCCCTCCGATCATCGATTCGTTTTGGCAACATTTTCTTCATTTTCTTTTTCTTTCAAATTAATCATAATTGGGTATTTGAGAATTTTTTCGTATCTGCCTTCTTGCTTCGGCCCTCACTTAATATTAACTAAATGTGGGGGTTCTTCTCCAGTTCTTCGGGCCAAAGTGATAACACACGTGATGCTACAATACTACTTAATTAAATTATATAATTTCAGTTATCTTTTTCTTTCTTCTTGTTTACGCTTTTAACTAAAAGTACAGTCTCAGTAGGGGGTACATAAGGGGGTATAAACGGGGGGCAGTAGTGGGCGCTTGGGGTTCAAAATAAAATCATCCATGTTGCCACTTCTCGACTCCTTTCGTCTAATCCTGCTCGGAGGCACCGGGATAGTAGTAGGGCGGCGGACGCTCGTACTCCGAGGATGGCGGCGCAGCCGGTGGATTGTGGTAGCGTGGTGGCTCGTGGTCCCAGTGCCTGTGCGGATTGCAATTAAAATGTATTAGTTTATGCGGAATATGCAGGGGCTATTAAATATTTATAGTGCGACCACTCACGCACAACACAGAAACACAAATAGAAAATAAAGGGGCGCAGCAGTAGCTGCGATTAATCAGTTTAGTTGGTCAACATAGATCGAACACCGATATATAGTTAGTGGCTTTTGGTCATGGAAAAAGCTAGTAGTCTTTATCAGGGGATAAGCTGTGGTCTTGTCTGCTAAGAGATCGTGTCCAGAAGTGTAAGAAGTAAAATGGCACATTTTTTCAATTAAATAAAGCTTTTAAAAATATTTAAATAAATTCCAGCACTGGGTAAATGTTTGTTCATTACTTTTTAGCCAATCGAAAAGAAAAACACAAACAAATGCAAATCAAAGATAGTTAAATAGAAACGAAAGGAGTACTAAGCAGATGAGTACGGGGGTTTCCACACTCTATTCACAAAACAGTCGGAAATGTATATTCGAATCGAGACTGCTGCTGGGGGGAAGTACACCACACCGATGATACCGATCGAATCTCAACTTCAATCTCTCAAAAGGCACAAACCGATTAGCATTTGGGACATGCCTAAAAGAAACCATCTGCCGCCAATGCCTTTGGCCGAGTGCCATTGGTCACACCTTTAGCGCTAAATTAAACAAAATTAAAAATTAGCGTTTTAGCGATTTAGCATTTAGCGGCGGTCTAAACGATCAAGGGAAACTGGATATTTGCGATGATGGGGTCAGGCTAATTAATTGTCAGTGTTACGCGGCTATGATGCATTTACTATTGTAAGAGTAGATTGTTCTCACTACCTATTAAGACTGCCTTAACTTAGAAATAATTTTTTTAATTGTAAACTCCAAAAACCTATATAGACTCTCTATAAACAACAAATGGGAATTTATTTAAAAATACTAAATATTTACAGATTTTTAAGGAGAAAATTTTAGAGTTTTTTACATTATTTACAGATTTTTTAAGAGAACATTTTATAATTTTTACCCTCAAAAAATTAAATGAATAAAAGTATTACAAAGTAATATTTTTTGTTAACTTTATATTGTCATTCGAATAAAATAAAATGGATTGTTATACTTATTAAACACTTACTAAATATTTAAAGAATTTTTTAAGGAACACTTCCAAACTTTTCAGAATATTATACATTTTACCGAATCTGAATGGAATAATATTTTCTTTTGAATCTACATTGTCATTGTCATTGCAATAAAATAAAATAAATTTTAATATTTACTTAAAACCTCTTCATTTGTTTATCCATTTTTCAAGGCTATTAAAACCCATTTATAAGTTATTTTACAATTTCTTCAGTTAAGACGATCTTTTAGCAAGTGATTTGGAATAGGACAAGCTTAGCTGGGATGAGGATAATACTTACGTGGGCGCCATATCGTTGTAGCGCATGCTGCTGCTGCCCGGAGCTCCATCCCCGCCGCCGCCGCCTCCGCGATCTCCGCCAGAACGATTGCCCCGCGAAACGCTGGGCGAGGCGTCCTCGTAGTAATCCTGCTGCTCGCGTCTCCGCTCGTAGGCCTTGCGACGCTTTTTGGGAACGCTAAAAGAGGGGAGATGCAAAGGGACAACAAGGGGTCACAGGATTAGCTAGCGAAACAACACAGGGGACACAGGTGACAGGATGATCTTTCTTACTTTGCCAATGGTACATGTTCGCGCTCGCGCTCACTATAAGCGTCGTACAGATAGTCGCTGCTGCGATTCGGGCGATTCGATTCGGGATGATTTGGGGTTAGCGGTGTGAAATGAGAAGAATGCGGACGGCTTAGTTGTGGTGCAAACGCTGAATTTTCTTTATATTTTTGCTGCTGCTACATGCATATACATTTATAAAACAAAAGTCAATCGAATAAAATGGAATCCACAACCCCAGTTTGTTAGTCTGTTAATCTTTCTTGCGTTTGCTGCTGGCCGAGAGATCGGGATCCTCCTCATTCGGATAGTTCACCTCGCTCTCGTCCCAGGCAACAGCACCTGGATCGGCATCTGCTTGATTATCAGCTGGGCTGGCATCTGCGCCACCACCACCGCGAGTGGGCGCACCGGCGGGACAGCCGCAGTAGGCCTGCTGCCCACCGGAGCAGCTGACTATTGGCGGCGGCACATACGGAGCACCCGTGCAAATGGGACAGCTTTGGGTTAGGTGTGTGGTGTTTGGGTTATAGCCGTGATGCCTGAAAGTAACGAGCAGCAGTGCAGCTAAAAGACAACTCACCCGCCCTCGACGACGCCAGCAGCTCCAACGGTAGCCAGGTAGGGATAGATCTTCTTGTACAGGCACATCAGGCGGTGGGCCACGAACAGGATGGGCAGGAAGAGCAGGGCGCACAGCAGGATGCCCACCCAGAATCCATTCTGTAGATAAAAGTGGAGTTTGTATTAAAATCGGTATCTTTACGAAGCGGGAAGTGCTGTGAATTAGAGCTTGAAAAATATTAATTTTCGATATCTTTCAAACAGCAATATTTATCGGAAATATCGATGATTATCTGAAATAACAATATTTTTTGTAGTTTGTTCCTTAGAATCATCGATATTATCGATACACAACTGTGTAAAAATCGAAAAAAGTATTATTTTTAACTATATTGTACACCTATCGTAAATATCGATGATTATCTGAAATAATAATATTTTTTTGTTTTTTTACTTTTTGTTTCTTAGAATTATCGATACACAATTGTGAAAAAATCGAAAAAATTAATATTTTTTAAACTCTATTGTGCATCCAAAAATTTCTAAACATTTAAAACCTAATAACTCACAATGGGATCCACGAGGCGGTGGCAAATCAAGTCTACGCCACGATAATATATATACGATAGGGGCGCACAGTGTCCCACACTTTCGTTGGCCTCCTTTATAATCATATCGATGTAGTCCTCTATCATCTGGTCAATGGTCGTCGTCAAGTTGCCTCCCAGGCTATTGATATAATCCTTGCCTCGCTTCTGGATGAACTCCTCGGAACTAACTGCCGTGGCAGTCAAAATTTTAATGGTGTTGGTAAAGTCGTGGTTCTCGTAGGTGATAAGCTCGTCGATTCTCTTTAGATTGGTCTTCATCCTCTCCACCAGACTCGTGAGCTTGGGCACAAAGTTGCGATAGAAGGCCTTGGTGTTGAGGCCCTCGTTCCAGAAGGACACCTTGGCCCATCCGTAGGCCGGATACTCCAGATCATTCGAGATCTTGTACAGCTGCTCGGACAGGGCGTTTAGATTCATGGGCGTGAACTGCGAGCAAAGATGGGTCTGGTACAGCGAGCTGTGGTACTTGGAAAGAGTATTTTCGCGCGCAGCGTTCAGATCCGCGCGCTCCTCCTGCGTCAAGAGTATCACACCGGAGAGATCCTCATCGAAGATCTTGACGGTATCTGGATCGTCCTTTGCATTGGTCATAACCTTGATGCGCGCCAGATCGTTAATGTCGTATATGTTGTTGTCTCGCATCATCTCGAAGATGGTCTGGTTGGCATGGCACGCCTTGATGGCACTCGACATTTTCATGGGCTCCGCCACAGCCTTGGATCCCTCGCTGGCCGGCAGGTAGTGATGCAGATCAATCGAGGCGTCCAGCTGTCGGAAGAGGGTGTTGTTCTCCTGATCCCTCAGCGGAGCACAGGCACCCTGGTAGGTCACCATGCCGAGCATGAAGTAGAACAGACCAACCAGGGCGATGAAGGAGAAGACGCAGAATATCAACAGGATGGCTCTGAAAGGGGGTAATAAATCGTATTTGATTAATAAGTCAGGATAGGATTTAGTTTAATACACTTACAAAAGCAGACATGTGGCACCGGTGGACTTGCTGCAGCACTCATCGCCGTAACCAGTTCGTCGTCGCCCAAAGCAGCCGCATAGTAGGGCAAAGATCAGTATGAAAAGTACCTAAAATATAATAAAAATCCATTATAGATAGCTTTTTTAGATTATAACCTTTAAGGTTTCCCCTACCAGCAGTATGAGCAAGCACACAATCAGACTGACAATGTTCCTATCGTGGCCGAAGCGTTCGTAAACATCCTCAAACGACTTGGTCGAGTGCAGGGTCTTGATGTGTATATCACTGAGTACTCCCTCCACAACGTGGCGCACTTTCGTCGCATGCTCGCGGAAGACGGTCCTGCCCTTGGTCAAGTCCCGCATCATGGGCGGTACGACGAAGGACAACTGCGTCTTCACCTTGTCGCTAACTTTCTTCAGTCGCGCCAGTCCACGTTGCGGTATAACATAATACTTGTGCTCAACTATATTCTCCATTCCCTCCACAAAGGCAGTTGTGTTTGGCAGCTGTAGATAGGGATTTAAGTTATTAATTACATTGGTTTTCCGAATTAAATATAAAATCATACACTGTCGAAGTGCAGACACTGCGAGGTATCAATATGCTCTATATCGCTGCTGAGCAGGAACTTCTGACACATCTGGAGTTGACAGAGATTGGCCACTGCAAAGTTCACATCACGCTTAATGCCGCGAACACCTGAAATAGGGAAACATTTTTATTAATTACATATTTTTAATATATTTGAATTTTTGAATATCCTTACCATCTCTCAACTGTGAGCCATAGAACCGCAGATCCTTTTCCATTTTCTCCACCTGTCTCATTAGCTCTAGAGCCTCGGGCATGTTCTCCAAGACCCGCTCCAATTCGGCCAGTGAATTACTCTCCGAAGTGTCGGAGAGATCCAAAAATATGTGCCGATGGGCATCTGAAAAGAGCCATGGATGTTTAAATACAAATCACAGAGTCTCAGTTTCCAGGTATTCTTACGGGTTAGCTGATCAAGCACATGGGTCTCCATCTCCTCGTAGTTGTACATCATCAGATGGTAAACGTGATCGGCCACATCCTTCAGATAAGTGCAAGTATCCTCGCTGCCGCGCTTCATGGTCTCGGAAGTCTCGGCAAATCCGCTGTCAATCATTTTGTTGGTAACAAAGGCGATAATGATGCCAAAGCTAAAAGAAGAGAAACAAGTTTTGGTTAGTATCTCTCTTTTTTAGGGATTTCTAGTAGCTTTACATCAGTCCAATGATGAGGATCAGCAGACAGATGCCGCAGCAGAAGCGCCGCTGGGCATCCTGTTTACTGGTACATGGAGGACAGCCCTGTCGACATCGTCGGCAGCAACAGAAGCAGCAATAGCAAACGCTAAGGGTTAAGAAACAGAAAGGGTTATTACTATTATAATTAGTTACATAAATAAGTATAAAACTCACGCAATAAACGGTATGATAATAATGAGCACCACGAGAATAAAAACCCAGATGAGGACCATCCAATAGTGGGCCAACAGATCCCGCCAGTCATTCTCCTCCACCTTGGGGCCCAGGGTTAATGTGTCCGAGTTCCTTACCACAATGTAGCCTGCAGATTAGATTATAATTATTATTTTAATTTCCGATTTATTAAATATTTCTTTACTCACCCTCTGGAATGGGCTCATCCCGGTAGAGGACCTTGTCGTACAGAAAGTGCGTGAAATTGAATATGGAGTTCATGGCCGACGTGGGTGGTGGTGGTTCCTTTGTGTAGTTCGTCGTCGGCCTGTACATGGTGTACTCCACGGGTGGCCAATGGGGCTGCCCGAGTTGTTCGTGCGTGGTGCCATGGCCCACATACCCCTTGCGCCATTCGCCCGGGGTCTCATCATCAGCCTGGGCGGTTGCCGGCCTGATTAGCGTGGCCAGCGCAAAGCCAAAGATGGCTACACTCAGTCCACATATGGCCAAATAGGCTATCTGCCGTCTCCGGCGCTGTCTGCGCTTCCGGGAACGCATCGTCTTCGACTTGACCGCGGCCAGAGGCTCCACTGTGGCCGCCAACTGACTCATTCCGTCTGCTTTTCAAAGGACCTCTAGGAAAAGCTTCTTCGAACTCACTAACGTGCTGAGCTGCTGCTCTTGATCTTGTGCCCTTTGGTGTAGTAGTCCACACCCATTTCACACGTCAGTGGCCTGTAAAAAAAAATATGAAAAATAATTAATCAATTAAACGGGTATATGAGGAGAATTATAAATATAATAATATCTTAAATGTGTACAGAATCTTCTAAAGTTATATTAAAATGGATCTTCCTAACAAACACCTATTAAAGTAATCTAATTAATAATATATTTAACAAAATATTTCTTATGTATAAATTCTATAAAAGATTATAAGGTTATAAAGACTAACAAGTTATAGTATAGAACCCTCTTGAGTTATCTTTAAATGGTATCTCCTTCACAAACACCTATTAAACTAATCTTTAATCTCAATTCCTTTCCTTTTTTAAATGGAAATGGGAGGGTCAATGGAAGACCTAAATGATTTAAGAATATTCGAGGACAGAGAAGAGTTCACACCCTAATAGAGCAGTGGCATGTCCTCGTCCAGTAATAAATGCGTGGCTGGGGCAATAAAAAATATTCAATTCTTGGTGTGTCCAGGCAAATGGGACATAATCCCATCCCGGTTTTAAGATAGGATTGGTTCCATCGCAATGCGGGGTCCCAAACACACACATACACACCCAGAGGCACTCTCACATCCACTTGACATCAATTAAGGTCAATAAAAGCCCATAGAAGATGACAATGGGTTGAGGCATTAGCTGCCCGAGAATGCAATCCACTGCTACTGGCGATACGAATTCAAAGGACTGAGCTACGGCTTTTGCTTTGGCACATTGCCATCGCAGGTGTTATCTCTCCGTCTGTCGAGAGGAGGAGGTGAAAGTCCCCTTTGGGCGACGGGTTGAATGCACTTGAGTCCGGCGATCATGAGTCACCACCTAACCCACCTATGCTATTACCACATTGCGTGTGCCTGTGCCGCCCTTGCATAATTACCCAAATATCAAATAACTGGGACTTGGGAGAAATATTCAAAATAGGCAAATGGAAGAGCAAATGCAAATGGCAAGAAAAAAATAAATATTGTAAAAATAAAAAACAATAAAAAATGTACATGCCCCGAGTGAGGCTCGAACTCACGACCTTAAGATTATGAGACTTACGCGCTGCCAACTGCGCCATCGAGGCATGAACACGGTGCCGGCAAAAAGCAAACTTGTGCAAAAGGTTCTTATGTTAGAATGCCAGCCGCAAAAATAGACATGTATGTTTATATGTTTATGTTATGTATGTGCGACATGTTTCTTTATAAGGAATGATATGATAAGGAATTTTTCTTGTCTATTCTTATCGATGTAAAATCACAGGTAACCTTATCTTTTTCGGAGCAAATTGAAAATCGATTTAGCTTGTTAAACATGTCAACAATCAATATTTGCTGTCATTAAAATCAATATTTTAAAGCAATTATTTGCTTTGAAAGTTTTGTTGTTTTATTTTTGTTTTTATCTTGAGTTTAGTAGGAGAAATAATTAATTGCACAAAAAAGTTAGAATGTTTTTAGTATTTTCTCATTTACTGTGTGAGTTTTCTTTCCACTTAATTAGCGCTAAACACATTATTTTTTAAACATAAAGATTTCACAATATTTTTTTTTAAAGTAAAGAATTTCTATAATTATTCACATTTCCCGCTGAATTTTTAACAATCTTAAAAGAATACCGGAAACTATTTTTTAGAAAATTGTCCTCAGACCCAAAAAACAAAGCTAATTTTTGGTAGGGGTTTTCACTTTTTTTTGCTTGATGAATTTTAATAATTCTTGTTGTGGACATTTTTTTTATAAGAAACTTTCTGACGAAGACTGGGTTTTTCAGAATGCACTGCCTACTCATATTTCCAAGATATGCACATACATAGATCTAAAGAATGAGTGTGCTCATTTGATACCCGCCACTGGGAACTGTAAATTTATGGCCATCGAGTCGAGCAACAAGCAGTATAGCAGTTACACAGTAACACTCATCGACTGTCTTTGCACAACAGACACATACAACACAGCATAGACAAAGAAATCGAAAAGTTTAATGAACTTTGTGGGCGAGTGGACAATAAGGGCTGAAGGGCTGAAGGGCCAAGGGTCTGTCCCTCGGACTCGGATGGCTTTCCATGGCATTATGCTTTATAGCGCTTGGCCCTGTCCCCTTGGCCCACCAAAACACACTATACACTATACACAGAATGTGTCGCAACATTATATATATGTATATATATTTATATATGCACAACATTCGGAGCACTGCATTGCCGCCTGCTTATCTCGAGGTTGCCCCTCTTTTTTTCCATTTTTTTGTATTTTTTTCCATGCTTACTTTCCGGAAAGAGCTGGATTACCAGGCGTGTTGATGGCTAATGTAAAAATAGACGTTTGCCGAGGATTGCGAATGGCACCTGCTGACAAAAGACTGAAGCCTTAATGGCTGTCGAGTGTTTGGTTTCGATTGCGTATACGCAGCGTTGTCTGGCTGGGAGCAAACTAAAGGCGCTGCTGGAAAAACGATGCTCCATTTGCTTATGCTCCTCCGTTATGCTGTGCAGAAAATTCTCTATACCCATTGGTGGGGAGCAGCCTTTGAACGGCCTTGACACGCGGTGAGCTGCAAGATTCTCTTGCTCCGAAGTTTGAATTTTATCCCCACTTGCAGAATCTAAATCCAAGTTGGAAATCGCAAATACTGAAGCCTAAACAGCATAGCCAGAGGTCGTCGAGTGCCCCTTCAGCAATTTGAGAAAACAAAACAATTTGCAGCCTCGCCTCGGCTTTTTGGGAGGACAGACAGGACAAGAACATCTGGGACATGCGCAGTGGGGATCTGCAAGGATGCTGCACTCCCTCGAACGAACAGTGGGCGGAACAGGCAAAAGGCTCGACAAGGCCACACGCAAAATGCTTTTAATTCCGGTCAGAGTTCAGTTTTACACAGCAATAAAATATCACATTGCTACTAAATAAGATTCTTAAAGATCGAAAAATATATGGGCACCCATTTTTTTGCATCATAAAAACATTTCCGAAATTGTTTTCCCCTTTTTCTAGCACATTTTTGTAAATTTTCCAAAAATCATTAGCCGCGAAATTCAAAACTTTCCGGAATTCCGAAGGTAAACAAATTTTTCAAATGAAAATTTGAGAATTGCGGCCATAATGTGCATACCTACTAATAAAATTTTTATTTTTATTTACGAAAAATAGCTGAAACGCAAAAGCCAAGTAATGATAATAATCAGGTAATAAAATGTTTTCAATTCCAAGAAAATGGGGGTTCCCAATCTGTAAATTTGCCAACACAAAAAGTCGTAAAATAATTTTAAAATGACTAGGTTTTTAGATTAAAGAACCCAGTTTCAGATATCATCTTCAGCGTCTATATTAACTAATAACAATAAAATCGGGGCCAATAAAAAGTGCACACAATTCCAGTAAAGTGAGTTTCGCAATCTGTTAATTTGCAAAACAAACTTGGTTGTAGAATGAATCAAAATAAACTAGATTATTCAGTGCCTTTAACGAGCTGTTACGAACACAGTATACCCATTGTCGTCTGCTATCGTAATAAAGTTTCCCTTTTTGGGTAATGTGAGTCAAAGCCTGTGACAAAGGCAACAATCCATTTCTTGAAATTGAATGGGTTCCGCCTGTTCCGCCCCCTTCAGCTTCAGCTGATTGAATCCAACTGGTTTTTGCGCCAACAGGAGAAAGTTGACAAAATTAAACACAAACTTATTTGGCTTTGGCGATACCCGTGTATTGGGTCAGCAATATCACGGAGTAATAGAACCAGTATAGAACCACTGTATCTGCGGAAACGCCGAGTCCAAGGTACTTAAAAATCTGCTGGCGGCTAAGTCAGCAAAAATAACGAGGAATCCGAACACGAAAAACTTAATGACGGTATGGCATTATGGCTTGTATAAACAAAAGAATTAAATACAAAGTGAAGGTTGAATTAATGAAGACAATTTTCCCCATCTATAACCGAGTCGCAATCAATGTCAGGTCTTAAAGCAAAAGTGCCGAGTTGTAAATAAATATTTAAAAGAATTATGGGCAGTACTTGGTGGAATTTAACACAGTTCAAGTTTGCATTGACCTTTCCTTAATTTAAACATTTTTTATAGATTGAGGAATAACAAAATATCTAAAAAATATAAGCAGTAAAATAAACAGCAAAACATAGAGCACAGAGTCAACTAAAATATAAGGGATTAAAATAATATCTGTATAGTTAAAAAAAATCATTTCTATGATTACTCAGTTGGAAAACTGCTGCTTTACTATTATCTTAAGCCATTGCTGCATTTCCTAAGAACTTCCAGAACTCAGAGAATATAATGCGATAAGTAAATCAACAACGATTATAGCAGCAATGAACTTAGCTGATTTAAATAGTCATACGTTATAAAGAATTAATGAGGTCAGCATATTTAAATCTGAGATAAGAAAAGACGACAGCGGATGCAATGACACTAAATCATCTTCAAAAAAAATAAGCGGAAAAGGCGTGATTAATCAGTTTATAAATATCAAGTTTTTCCCAGAAAAGTGCAACTAATTTTTCGACTGATTGAATTGAGAGCACACACTTCACAGCAACTTTTCATTCCATTTTTTTGGACCGCCTCCGCCAAAGTGACATCCAACATCGAATTTGGAACAGCCGGCGGAGATGGAGAAGGAGAAGTCCACGGACGGCGTTCCGAGGCGAAAGATATCGCAAGAGAACAGGTTGCCCTGCCAATGAAGTGAAGTCTGAGATCCGAAGTCGTGCCAAAGCAAAAACTCGTTTCTTGTGCCTGTGACTCACAGACCGCAGAAAAATGGGCTAATCACACAAGCAGATACAAAGTAAACTTCTTTGGATGAAAACTGAACGAATTCAGACAAAGGAAGTCGGGTAATGCAGTTGGAGAAAAGGGGCGGAAATGAACAGAAGAGTCAAAATAAAAGAATATAGGGTGGGGCCGATCGTAGTTCGCTTCACTTGCTTCAAGAAACGGAAGCCAAGTACACTGTCAGAAACGGAAGATAGAAGACACATACGTGCCCAATGATGTATTATATCATCTTGATTCGCTGACGTTGAGTCAGCTTATTTGCCAAAATGAATCTGATATGAGGGTCGGTTATCCAATTGCTTATCATATTGCAAACCTTGGCTAAGCTTGGGTCTAATTTCGGTTTGTTCTCGGATTTTATAAGGCAGACGATCCACTCGACCGGTTGGCGTCATATGTTTTCCATTTTACTTTGCAGTATTTGATTAATGATTCTGAACTCTAGGTTAGCCGAGCTTATCTCTGCGTTTTCTTGTAGATAAATACTGGTTTTATGTTGGTTTACTTTTGGATTTGTGTCCGTTGTCTTCGTTTGAGTTCTGCAACTATGGCATAATACATAATTATTTATAATCAAACTGGTAATATTCTAAACATTCTCGTTTATTTTTAATTAATAGAACCACTTAAACCTTTGTTTGATTTTATTTCGATTTGCTAATGAGATTTTTACTGCAGTCTCTTTATGTTGACAATCATGTGACCTTTTTAAATATATGTGATTATATTATCTCTGAATTTAAGGCATTTTCCCGTTCGTTTTTATAATGAAATAGTGTTTTTCGTAACTTCAGGCCAGTATTCTTATCTGAATAAAAATTCCCACTGACTAGTAAGTATTTTTTTTATAATCTGCCATCGAATTTGCTTATTCAGGCGGAATCTACGCAATGTGTGTGCTCTTTTTTAGAGTCCGCTTCCGAGTTCTGTAAAGTGTGTGGCTGGGAAATCATAGAAAAGGCCCCGAAACTCTATAAATACACGGATTCCGCTCGGCTGGGTGTCTGTATCTCAGGTCAGGGATGTATCTACATACTGAATAATATATCTGCGGGTGCGTGTGTGTAGATAAAAGTCCGCGGGAGTTCCTTTTTTCGAGTGTTTTGTGTGCTCACAGAGCAATTAGTGCAGTGCCGCATATTAATTATGCACACAGCCGCCGCCAGGTGGCGCATTATCTAGGCGAGATGGGTGGATATGCCGTATAATTCGTGGCAGGAAGAGACCTTTAGCCACTAATTGAATAACTCGGGCGGCTAAATTGAAATAAACGAACGACACTCACCAACATCGACAACCGCCGCCGCCGCCTAAGCCAATTAAGCTGGCTTTTGGACTCGGGTTCCGTTCAGTTCCGTTCCCTGGAAGATGATGATGATGATGTCCGAAATATGCTCGCTCCAAGTCCAATTAGCCCTTGGGATCCCGTTCCCAGATCCAGAGATCCCCAGATGCTGCAAGGTAAGGCGGTATGGTATGGGATTTAGATGGGTTCCTGTCCCTCCGGCGATTACAACAATAAAACACCCAATTTGGAGAGCTACGAGTGGCAATTTGCTGCACTCAACTGGTCAAAAGAAATGCAATTCGACGGAACGACGTTGGTTTGGGTTAAAAACCAATAGTTCTACGTGTTTTTGTGTTAATTCGTGTAAAACTCCAGTCGAATTTAAGCTAATATTAACAGATAAATCAAAACCGTTGGCAAAGTTCTTCAAATTGAACAAAAAGAAAAATGAGGAGAAAAAAATCGGAATTCAGGTCGCTGGCGCATTGAGGTCTTCCCAGTTTTTCCAGCTTCCAATGGCCCTTTTGGCCCAATTGGAGTTTTCCCAAGTGGGGCTCAAGGGAATTGTGGATATTTCTTAATCCGCTTTTCAAAACCTTTAACCGATTTTCAACCGAAAACACACAGATATGTTGGATTTTTTGCTTTATCCGTGTGTGTATATGTATCACTGCACTGCACCGCCCTTTCGAAACGAAACATTCTGCTGCTTGGCTTTGTTTGCCCAGTTACACCTGGCATTTGTTGTGATTTTCACTCGCTTCTCACATTTTCCCGTGCCAGTAGGCGTGGCCAATCGAATCTCAGTCACGCGAACGCACGCTCCATTCAGCTAGGATGCGCCCCGGATATTCACCTTTTCTATTTCAATTTTATCCGATCGAAAAAACTCGCATTTCAAAGTAATTCTGACTAGTGAAGTGAAAAACGGTGCAGAAACATCGAGTAATTAGTGTTGAAAAGGGTGGAAACATCGATATAGTAGTCGTTTTAGTCGTTCTGTTGAATCTAACATGAGTCTGTTAAGCTACAGCTGCTTTGAGTGGTTTTCGTATGGCCGTTAACAGTGCGCAAGGAATGGAGTGGAAATTGCAGGGCGAAGTTAACAGTGCGCACGAATTGGAGTGGAATCGTTAACAGTGCGCATGAATTGGAGTGGAATTTCAAAGTAGTTCTGACTAGTGATGAGAAAAACGGCGATTAAAGGTGCAGAAACATCGATTATATTTTATTTTTAGTTTTATAAAAATAAGCTTTTGTAAGAAATTTCATGTCTTTCGAGTGCTGAGTGGTACGAGTCTTCGTTCTGTTGAATCTAACATTAGTCTGTTAAGCTACAGCTGCTTTGAGTGGTTTTTGTATGGCCGTTAACAGTGCGCACGAATTGGAGTGGAATTTCAAAGTTCTGGCTAGTGATGTGAAAAACAGGTGGAGAAACATCGTTGATGCGCTATAAAATGCATGAATAAACGGTCACGCTGAAAGTTGCAGCCCTTAAATATTGTCTTGATACATCGTTTAGCTGAGACTCGAACCAAGATTGTAAGATAAGGGTTCGAAAACAACAGTTATTTTTAAAATGGTTAAATAAAAAAATGAAGGAGCTTGGAGGGAATTCTTTCAAAAACCTAGAAATGTTAGTTTCATGCAAAATATGGTTTCATGAAATAAACTTTTATAGATTGACTTGTATGATACAGTAAAAGTTATGGTAAGTTAAGTCAAACAATTTGTATAATATAAATCGATTTTATTGGCAGTAACATAAATCCTGAAAAAGAACCCAAAGTTGTTATTATTTATAAGATCTTTTTTTGTTAATTCATTATGAGTCATCCTATTCTGAACAATGAGCAATATATTGACCAAAAGTGAATCAAGCAGGGACCGAAAATAACTGTTATTGTTTCATACCAAAAAAATCATGCACTTAGAAGAGTCCTAAAATTTTTTTAAATACACCATTATTTTTGTTAGCCATTGTAGTTTACAAATCCGTAATGATTTTTATTTATTTGATTTTTATAATAAAACTCAAAAAATAACAGTTATTTGTTGATTTTTATGAATAACAGTTATTTCTGAAAAAATGAAATAACTTAAAAAAAACATGCTAACCGTGTTTTATAAACTTACTAAAAATCTTTAAAAAAAAGCCAACCGCGCATATTGTATATCTATTTTTTTTTTTAAATTTATTTTACCCACAAAATCGCCATAAATCAAGTTTGAGTTTTATTTTTGATCTGACGAATAACTGTTATTTGTCAACTTTTATTATAAAACTCAAAAAAATAACAGTTATTCTTTGAGTTTTACTTTACAAATCAGAAAATAACTGTTAAAATGTGATTTTTAAAATATACATACATTATTCCGTAATTTATCATTTTCTGCAGCCGTCTTCGCAGCTATTTTATACAGATAATTGAACTTGTCCTTAATGGACATTATTTTGGAATTTTCAGGGTCCCTCGAAGAACTCATTAACTGTCATTTTAGGATAGTCGAACAGAGTCAACACGGTGATATACTCGTTATTGATCTTTTATAATGAATGATCTTTTATTATGAAGTTTATATATTTGCTGCGTGTGTTTGTACCCAGCGGAGCGAAATAATGTTTTTTCTATTGCTTTTTAAGAATGCACAGTTTGTTAATAACTCTAAGTTTCTAAACTAATAAATGGTTTCGTCAAAGCAGATCGGTTTTTAGATTTTAAAAATAAAAACCATAAAAACCGTTATCAAAGCATTATGATTCTGCAGATAGAAAAATTTTTAATAGAACAGATCAGAATTTAAATGTATATACATATGTAGGGGAGAAGGGGGCTTTAATAGTAGGAAAAGTAAAAACTATGTAATATCAACATAGGAAAATAGTAGTTCTTTATTTTCTGAATTTTTTATGAATTTTGTTTTTTTTTTGGTCATTGAAAGGTTGAATGTTTAATGTTGATTTCAAGTCTAAAGATTTTCCTCTACGAAAATCATTCTTCTGTGGCCTACTGGTTAGAGTGTGCTCGACTCCGATGATTGCGGCCCCGGTTCGATTCCCAGCGGAGGCAAGAAACCTGATTTTTAAGTTTAAGTATCTGTGAAATGTAAGTGTCTATAAATAACTTCCATATAAATTAATATAACAAATTAAATTTTTAAAAATAAATTAAAAATAGCTACATTTTTTTCGGCCAAAATACTATTGAGTAGGTCATATACTATTTTGAAGGTAATCTACCATTTTTGGGGCATTTTCTATTTTTTATGGGTTGGGGTAGTTTTCACCATTAAATGGTTGATTTTACATAGTTTTTTTTTGTGTGTAGGAATACGAACTAAATATAGTTATAAAACTTGGATTATCGTTGGTTTCACCAGGATTCTTCACTCAATTGTCCATTGGTGGCCACTTGGAGGTGTTGTATTAGGCGTCTGAGTTGTTCTTGATCTGGTTGTTGTTCTACAATATTCTGGAGTCTATCATTTTCAGCAGCTGTCTTTGCAGCTATTTTATACAGATAATCGAACTTTTTCTCAAAGGACAATATTTTCGATTTTCCAGGCCCCTCGAAGAACTCATTAACTGTCATTTTAGTATAGTCGATAAGATCCAACACCGTCTTGATATACTCGCTATTGATCTTTTTAGACCTTAGGTCCAAGGTTACAGAATCTGCATCAGAAAAGTTTGAGTTCTTAACACCGATCGGGTTAAGATTAACGGTTTCGTCGGTTTTTTCATCGCTGTTAATTAAAAGTTCTTCTGGGTTTTTCTTGCTTTGACTGACGAGTTCCTGGCATTCTATCTTATTAAGATCGCTTTGGTTGAGTTCAAATCCGTGAATGGTCACATACGTCTCTACCATTTCAAAACGACATTTTTCTGTCACGGAGCCGTTTATAATCTTCAAATACTCTCTGAACACATCCGAACCCAGTTCATAGACTTCTTCTGGGATTGATTTGCCTCTAATGTTTTGGTTCAGACCTTCTGAAATTTGATCGATGAGTTTCATATCGTGAACGTGATGCATATGCTCAAAGTAGAGTAGCAAGTCCGAGTATATCATGGTAGGATATCTTTTCTGGAAGATATCCTCGCAGACTATCTTTAGCGGTTCTACCATCCACATGTTGGCACACTCCTTCAGCTTGATGATATCCTGGTTGCTGTAGTCATCGAGGGATGTCCTGTCGTAGGTGTAGACATATAGACGGAATTTTCCAAAAGTGTCCTCGGTAACATCGGTTAGGGTCACTCTGCCAGTTTTTGCCCCAGCGAAACCCGGCTGAAAGGTGCGCTTAAAGAACTCCGAAGCCGCACCCAGTATCACCTAAATAATATTAATATTATAAATATGTACAGTGGCCCACAGCTTGTTTCGTGCAGAGGTAAACTTAAAACTCAAACTCGTATAGCTAACAAACTATACGATAATTTACCAAAATTTAAATGCAGTTATGTTAGGTAGTATTCTGGCCCTTATTAACCCACTTCTTTATTTTTAGATTCCATAGAATAACACTTAAAATTAAGAAAAACTAAAATCATTGACTTTTTTAATGTCACAGCTTATTTCGTGCAAAACTTTAAAATTATTATTATTTGTAAATTATGGCTCAAAATGTGTTTTTTTAATTTCTTAATTGAAGCGCCTATTATTAACAATTTTTTTTGGAATTTTATTTATGTCAAATACACAAAAAAAAAGTTACATGCAAAAAAAAATAAAATAATCAATTAAAATGTTTAAATGTATATTTTGGTATTAAAAATGTCGAAAAATTTATCTTAAATTTGCAGAATTTATTGAAGCCCGTACTGTTAAATTTACTATACATTTTTAATAATTTTAAGTCTGTTCCGGTGCAGATTCTATTGTACAGGATGCATTTTGGGCCTATTGGTACCACTTAATTCCTTTGTAAGAAGCGTTTGATCATGGATAGTTGAGAACTGGGTCCTTCCTCAATAAATTCTGCAAATTTGGGATACATTTTTCGACATTTTTAACATTTTAATTGATTATTTTATTTTTTTTGCATGTAACTTTTTTTTTTAGTGTATTTGACATAATTAAAATTAAAAAAAAAATTGTTAATAATAGGCGCTTTAATGTAGAAATAAAAAAACCCATTTTTAGCCATAATTTACAAATAATAATAATTTTAAAGTTTTGCACGAAATAAGCTGTGACATTAAAAAAGTCAATGATTTTAGTATTTTTTTAATTTTAAGTGTTATTCTATGGAATCTTAAAATAGAAAATAAGGTTAATAAGGGCCAGAATACTACCTAACATAACTGCATTTAAATTTTGGTAAATTATTGTATAGTTTGTTAGCTATACGAGTTTGAATTTTAAGTTTACCTCTGCACGAAATAAGCTGTGAGCCACTGTAAGTATCAGGGGGATTCCCTAAACTGTTGAATTGCTGAATTGTTGAAAATTCAACAAAAAATTTCAGCAATTAAAGGAACGACCCAAAATGGTTCCTGTTGAATTTTCAAACAGCTGTTATTTGTTGAAAAGTTTCACGGAACTTAAAGCATGTAAAATTTGATTTATTATTGCTATTAACTGTCTAAAAGTGTTACCAAGGTAAAAAGAACCACAAATATGCTTTCTAAGTTGATTTTAAAATAAATAATGCGTACTGGTGATACTAAAATGTTACAGAGTTGCCACGACTTTTAAAAAAAAGGTGACAACTCTGGCTTTTCAGCAATTCAACAAAATTTTCAGCAGCCCCGAGGCTGATGAATTGCTGAAATTTCTGAAAGTTGACTTTGTATGGAACAGCTGATTAACAGCTGACCAAAATTCAACAATTCAGCAATTCAACAGTTTAGGGAATCCCCCTATCATTAGTAGTACTGGTCTCGTATGTTTTTCATACCTTGTGGCAAGGGAACCTGCGCGTTCCTACAATTACACAGCAGTCGGCGAAGTCGCCCTCCTCCATAAGTTGCTTCAAAGAACTTGGCAGCCTATGTAAATATTATTGCACATGGATAAGTTATGTAATATTCATTGTATTGTTGTTGCTTTTTTGCTTACAAAAGGTCCATAGTTGCTAGATTAGTTGAGAGCACCTTTGATGAAGTATGCGCAATTGTATTAAGCTTGGATCTTCAACCGCCTCAATTACCTTCAACACTTGTTAAGTTAATTGTTTCGAGGTATGTTGACCTACAACATGTAAAGTACGCAGTACTTGATACGACAATTTATTTGGGGACTTTCCCTTTATCTAATCCAATTGTCTGAGCCGCAATTTCTCAAATGATTTTAAAGATTCAAAACGAACCACTAGTTCGCCAAACAGCTGATTTAAATGGATCTTGTAAATATCTGTTTCCACTACTTGGTAATTTGCGTTGAATGACACAATTCCACTGAAATATGCTAACGCATATTTAATAATTTCGGAGAACAGATTTCAAAATAAATTGGTGATTCAAATAGTTTTTAGAATTAAATTATAATGTGATTACTCCACATTAACCTTTATTAGAGCTAAATATTAATCGTTTGTTTTTAATTGTATATAAGTCGATTTATTTATTCAATGCATCCTCTTCTAAAATCTACAAACTTAATAAAGTTATCAAACTTGGTTTATTGTTGTTTTCACCAGGGGTCGTCATTCAATCCTCCATTGTAGTTGTGGTGTCGGCAATGGTGTACGCTATGGTGTTTTTGTTGTCGTTCTTGTTGGAGTTGTTGGAGTTTTTGTTGGAGTTGTTGTCGTTCTTGTTGGAGTTGTTGTCGTTCTTGTTGGAGTTTTACTTGGAGTTGTTGTCGTTCTTGTTGGAGTTGTTGTCGTTCTTGTTGGAGTTGGTTGACATATTTCTGGAGACCATCATTTTCAGCCGCCGTCTTTGCAGCTATTTTATACAGAAAATGGAACTTGTCCTCAACGGACATTATTTTGGATTTTCCAGGCCCTTCGAAGAACTCATTAACTGTCATTTTAGTATAGTCGATAAGACTTAACACGGTCTTGATATACTCGATATGGACCTTTTGAGAACTCGACTCCAAGGATACAAAGCTTGCATCAGAAAAGTTATTTATGCTCTCAACTGACAGATCTATTGAAGCTTCCGGGATTTTCTCCCTTTGATTTTCGATTCCACGGCATTCGCACTTATTGAGATTGCTTTGGTTGAGTTCAAATCCGTGAATGGTCATATACTTCTCTACCATTTCAAAACGATATTTTTCTTGCACGGAGTCTTTTATAACATTCAAATACTCTCTGAACACATCCGAACCCAGTTCATAGATCTCTTCTGTGGTTTTAATCCCTGAAATTCCCTTTTTTAGAGCATCGGAAATCTTACTGACGTGTTGCATGTCGTTCACATGATGCGCATGCTCAAAGTAGAGTAGCAAGTCCGAGTATATCATTTTGGGAAATCTTTTTTGGAGGATATCCACGCAGGCCAGCTTTAGCGGTTCGACCATCCACATGTTGGCACACTCCTTCAGCTTGATGATATCCTGGTTGCTGTAGTCATTAAGTGATGTCCTGTCGGAGGTGTAGACATATAGACGGAACTTTTCGAAAATGTCTTCCGTAACATCACTTAGGGTCACTTCGCCTGTTTTTGCCTCAGCGAAACCCGGCTGAAAGGTGCGCTTGAAGAACTCCGAGGCCGCACCCAGAATCACCTAAATGAGATTAATGTTTTAGATAAGTAAGTATTATTAGTAGTATTAGTCTTCTATATTTTACATACCTTGTGGCAAGGGAACCTGCGTGTTCCTACAATTACAAAGCAGTCGGCGAAGTCGCCCTCCTCCATAAGTTGCTTCAAAGAACTTGGCATCCTATAAAAAAAGTATTACACATGAAGATTGTTGTACTTGTTTTTGCTTTTTTTATACAAAAGGTCCATAGTTGCTAGATTAGTTGATAGAACCTTTGATGAAGTATACGTAACTGTATTTAGTTTGGATCTTCAATCAGGTGAATACCTTTGATACGACAAATTATAAGGGGATTTCCCTTTTTTTAATCCAAGTAAGTATGACGCGTTGCAATAATTTTGTGATTTTTGGTTAGATGACGTACAACATAAGAGCAAGAACCATTCTTGTGAGGCGTGTTAATAAAGAATGTGTCTACTGAGGCTTATTCCCAAAAACAGGAACTGGCAAACAATGTCTTTTTTTTTTATTTGTTGCTGCTATTGTTCTTACCAAGACTCCGTTGTTGCTGGTTTAGTTGACATCACTTTCGATTAGACTAAGTATGCGCAATTACAACTTGGATCCTTAAATACGTTATTTATTCCTGTTATTCCTTCAACACTTGTTCACCTATTGGTTTCAAAATCTAAACTAACAAAATAGAAAGTACGCAGTACTGGACAAGACAATTTATATAGGTGCTTTTTTGCAAGGTAGATAACAAATTCGATTAGATTAAGCATGCGCCATTACCCCTTTTTTTTAATTTTTTATTAAGTAGACAGTATTTTATTGGGTGCAAAGCCCCTTGCTATTTTTCCTTAAACCAATTTAGACAATTTAACTCCTCTTTCTCTGCAGGTCATTTTCCTCCCTCAATGATCCCACCTTTGGATACTTACTTTCTTCGCTTTTCGATAAAGGAGTCTGGAGTTCATTGTACTAGCGTTTCATTAAACAATTTAGTTTATTTTGGTTTCGTTTAAAACACTAAATTACACGTTAAATAATTTACAATCAAAATTTGGGTTCAGTTTTCTTGTATACTGTGTGTCGCGGCCCCCCGATTTTTACCTTTTGGGGTCGCCACGTCGCTACTCCATTGACCTTGCCTCTGCCCACACGGGTGGATGTGTATGTAAGTCCTATGTACGTCTGCATGCTCTTTTCTTTCTTTTGTGGGAGGAGTGGGAAGTGGGGAAACTTTACACGGTTGTAGCAACTTCGAAAAATATAACTTTGATATCCTATAGTTCTATACATACACATGCACATGTGTGCTCCCTATATGTACGTTCAAGCATTGACTTTGTTGAAGGCTCTCGGCGTTATCCTTGCTCTATCAAAATAAAAACTACAGCGTTGCACATAGGTTCGCATTTAGCTAAATTAAAAACGTTTTCGATTTGTGTCAGTACCCATACATATATATATATCTCCCTATATATACATACACATATTTATCTTGTATATATCATGGTTAAAGTCGCCTAGTTTGTGACCCGATTCGTTATAATTTTCAATTCTTTCTTCTTTTTTAGAGTTTAGACTTTAAATCACTACAATTTTCAAAGTAAAGCTTAGTATTCAGTTTATTTGGATTCCATTCTCTTCTTAATTGTTGTAACTAAACGGCTTTTTTTTTGGGGGCGGGGAGGTAAACAGAAAAGTGTGTGTTTGTAAGCCCAACTGGAAATGCGATCGATATTCAGAAAATGTTGTGCTGTGCTGAATTTACGCGTTTTCATCCGAAGATTTCGAATTACACTTACTTTTGTTATTTTCTTTTGTTTTATTTGGCAGTTATTTTGTTGTTGTTGCAAAACATTATTCTTTTTTAGCTCTAACACCTGTCTGACTGTCTGTCTGTCTGTCTGCTGTGATGTAATCCCAACCCGAAGAGAACCAACAGTTTCAAAAGCAAAGGAAGCGGGAAAAGCGGGCAAGCACATGGGCCAATCCAATCGAATATATAAGTGACTACGTTACTTAGGCAATAATAAATTAATTTACGAAATATAATTGGGCTGAGGTGGTTTGTGGATTGGTGCACTTAACGGAAACTATGGTAAAAACGAAGATCTAACCACGTAAACAATAACATCATCTCGGCCTGATCTGCGATATATATATATATATATGTATGTATATGTATATGCACCTAATAGACTCGGAAACTAAAGCCAAACTAGTTACAGCATTTGTTACAGTTACAAAATCATCCTTAACTCCTTAACACTGCTTATACGTATGTATCTCTCTATAGCCACCAGCTGGGTTCAAGTTCAAGTTGTGTGTGTGTGGGAATAGGACGACGATGCCGGCGATGGAGCGATGGAGCACTACAGCTGCGCCAGCGAGTCGGAGCGGATGAGCGGCGCCAGGGAGCTGGGCGCCTTGTGGCCCGTCTCAATCTCGTACTGCACATCGAGCGAGGCACCTGAGAAACGAAAGAACGGAGAAAGGTCAGCATTTACATCACGCTAGGAATTGGATTTTATTCATGACTAAGTCGCCATCGTTGCATTTTGCCCTGGGATGATAGGTTGTGGATAAGTGGATAGGATTAGGTCTACCAAAACCCTTACGTTTCTTTTCCAAGGTGGAGGTCTGACCCTCCGGAATGAACGCCGCTACTATTATGGCACAGAAGACGCACAAGGCGCCGAAAACGAAGGGCGGTCCCGGCACATGCTGCGAAATCTTCTCCACATTCGTCGCCCTGCTGCCGCTGCTCTTCGCATGCGAGTCGTGGTCGTCGTTCAGGTCCACGTTGAACAGATAGAAGACGACGCCGAACACCGCCGGCCCCAGGCCATTGCACAGGCCCCTCATTCCTGTGATCATGCCCTGGACAGCACCTGAAAATAGGGGCATATTTGAGTTAGTAAAGATTGGAGCCCTGCATGAATGTATTCAATGAATTATTTTGAATTTTTTGTATGTGTTAATAAATTAATTAGAATTTTGAGTTAAATAGAATTAAATGAATTTTAATTTTGAGTTTAATAGAATTGAATGAATGAATGGCATAAATTCCGAAATAATTCAAACGACAATTTCTTTTGAAGAAGAAAGGGCCATAATTTTGTAATTAAATCTGCCTTTAATTTTATTTACTATATAGTTAACATTGATTTGTTTAAAATTTTATACTTTTTGTTTAAAAAAAAAAGCGCAAAAAAAATCTGGAAAATTTATAAAAATTATTCATTCATTCATTCAATTCGAAAGGAATTAGAAAAACATTCAATTTATTTCACATAGAATTGAATTAAACAAATCAGAAATTTCATGGCATACTATGATAAAAGATATGATATAGTAAAGATCTACTTGGAACATCTGTATAGACTAACAAACTCACCTTGACTCTCGGGAGCCGCGTAGAGGGATACAAAGGCGCTGATGGCGGGATAGGTGATGGAGCCCAGGGCAGCCACCACGCCAGCCGACCACATCATCCTATTAGAGTAAGAAAGCATACACATTTAGTTCAAATTTCTTCAAGAGATCTTTGTGAAGTACTCACCACTTTTGACTGCCAAAGCCGTACCACAGCAGCTGCACAATTTCCAGGGCTAGGCCCATAATGATTGTGCGCTTGGCCCCAAACACCCTGAAAAAAAGAAAAGAATTAGAAATAAACCACACAAAAGATGTAAATCCAAACTCACTGCATGAAAGAGCCCAGTGTGACTTGCACTGTGATGCTGAGGATGCCAACTATGGCTATAAAGACGGACACCTCCACGTAGTTGAAGCCCATCTTGAGCTTCAGATAGACAAACATGCAGGAGTACTCCCCGGCCTCGGGCAGATAGGATAACAGCACGGTGAGGCAGAGCATCAGCACGGTCTTATCGGTGCCCACTTTGCGAAGAGCCTGGAAAAAGAAGTTACCATAGTTAATAAGTAACAAGAGAGAACGCTATAATCGGGTTGGTGTCCCGACTATCTAATACCCATCACTCAGGGAGTGCGATGAATGGTCCGATTTGAAAAATGTCTTCTACATTTCGATAGGTATTTATAAACAATATTAAATTGCTTTTATACATTTTTAAAATCTTAAAAAATAGTTTGTGGGCGATTGTGGGCGTTAGAGGGGGCGTGGCGCTCAACTGAAACAAACTTGCGCTGCGTAGGAAGCCAAAGAATATGTGTGGGAAATCTCAACCTTCTAGCTTTTGTAGTTTCCGAGATCTCAGCGTTCATACGGACGGACAGACAGACGGCTAGATCGACTCTAGCCGTTACTACTCTACGAGTAACGGGTATAAACATTCTTTAGATATCTATAGCTTCCCCTTACCATAAAAGGATCCGCCTGTTCCCAGCTGATGGGCGCTCCCCACGAGGCCGGCCGCATCTTCTCCGACAGACTCTCCGGCACAGCGACCAGGATGAAAAAGACATCCAACAGCGCAATGGCCGTGGAGAGGGCCACGACCAGCGTGTCGCCGTACATCTCCATCAGGGCATTGCCCAGAGCCGGCGAGATGACCAGACTCGCGGCAAAGGTGGCCGAGGCCAGGCCATAGGCCTTGGATCGCTCCTCCGGCGTGGTGACATCCGCCACATAGGCAAAGACCACCGAGAAGGTGACGGCGAAGGCGCCGCTTATTGAGATCATGGCAAAGAACCACCACGTATTGATGGACATCAGCGGTATGGGCAGGCAGGTGAAGAATACTGTGACTAATAGGAAAAACTTTCGGCCCCAGATGTCCGAAAGGGCGCCGATCAGAGGCGCCGACAGGAACGAGAGGATCCCCTTGATGCCCATGACCAGGCCGTTCATGAGGAATGTGTGATCCGGGAACGTCTGGTTGAGGGTCTGAAAGAAGGGGTAAAATGAAAAGGAATTAATATTTTGAATATTTTGCAGAGCTTGAAAATATCGATATTTTCGATATGTTCACAATATTGTATCGATAATATCGATGTTTTCAAGGAAAATGTTATAAGTTTATAATAAAACATTATAAAACATCGATGTTTGATAATATCGAAATTATCGATAATCTCGATATTTTTCAAGTTCTAGTATTTGTAGCTCTATTTATCCCAAAACTCACCGATATTATGGGCATCGTCAGCAGACCCCAGGCGAAGAACTCTAGAAATATCACAACCAGCGCATGATGAACACTCGGCTCCCCGATTCCGGAACTCTGTGGATTAAATTAGAGACCTCATTAGTAATTATATGGGATATATATGATACAGATAGATATCAGCTAAGTAAAGAGTCGTGGCCGCTGCCAATTGGCATAATTGCAGGATGCACTGGCGACGCACCCAAAGCCACCGAGTGAGTGCGTCATCGTTATGAACTCAACCAGCCAAACGACCAACCGACCAACCCAATCAGTTGATAAGGCGACAACAATGCCGCATTAACCCTTTGAGGCCCCCGGCCAATTTAAGCGGACTGCCGCCTTTATTTGTAAACATTTGAGTTCCATCCCGAGAGTCAGCTAAAAATAAATTGTACTAAATGCGAAATTGTTTGAGCTCGTTAAATGCCCAATGTCACACGAGGCGGCGACGGCGATGGATTCGGAATGCCGCCAACTGATTTGTTTTGTCGCGCATCAATAAATAGAAGACGAAACCCCAATTGAATGCAGGCGTTGATTTTTTAAAAGTAATCAAACTGCCTTTATGCTGATCATAAAAATGGGAAAATGGCTAGGCTAACTTTCCTTATAAAAACTGTAAGACTTATCATTCTGATATCATCTCTGTTTTACGACACTAGATACTAAAATGACTTATAATTAACTGACTGATTAAAAAGAAATCGTTAGCAAATAATTTATTTACTTTTTTGTTTTAATTTCTTTAAACTAGTTTGTCTTATTTACTCATACTTAAAATGTATTATTCACTTACACAAAATAATTAAGCCATTCTAGGGTTAAATGCGACGTCCAATGAGTTGTATTGAATTTTATATTTACCACATCTAATTAACTAGAAACTTTAATTGATAATAATGAGACCCATCATTTAACTAGAAACCTTCGTTGATAACCGGAACAATCCGATTTTTCCTTATTTCCCCGTTTACACCATTATTATATTCGTTTAGTTTTTACTTATTCTACCATAGAATTATAACTATGATTTATATACGTTAGGGCTCTAACAGTACCTAGAGATTATACTTTTTACGAGAAAATTGCCTCAAATTGTTGGCTTTTTATAGCTCTTGATTGATGATTTTCGGTTCAGTAGTTGTATATTCCATACAATAAAATTGTATCAATAGTAAGTAAATAACAACTCTATTAATATCTTTTCTAAAAGTAATATTTTCGACGTTTTAATCGAATTTAATGTTACAAGGTCTAAGATAAGTGTTATCTGTAAGATAAATTGTTCTCATTCCATGTAAACTAAATGTTTATCTTACATATGATAGACCTTATCTGGTTATTGTCAGAAAGAGCACTCGATAAAGCAGTAAATCTGACAAAAATGTTCTTAACTCGATGGAGAACTCAAAATTGGAAATATGATTTAAAATGTAATTTAATAATAATTAAGCAAATGTAGAATTGCTTTGTAATAATATGATAATAAATGGTAAAAAGGTTTCAAATATTATCATATAATAGATATTATGATACCCCAGTTTTTTTTTAAATATAATTTTTTTATAAAGCGTAGACTTTAATCCTTAGTACTAATCTAATTAAACATAAAAGTTAAATTGCTTTGTAAAATAGTTAAAGAATTGATATGACCCCTCCTCTTAGATTAAAACCCTCATATGATATTTAGAAATACCTTGCAGCAGCAGATGTTGCAGACAACCCTGATCCACTCGAAGAATCGGTTGCGCTTTGGTCGCTCTGGCGGCGCCTCCGAGTTGCCGCCCTGCGATCTCATCGAGATGTAGGACGCCGCCGAATGGGTGCGCCTATGGGCAGCTGCTCCTCCACTTGCTCTAGCTCCTCCCGATCCCGAGGTGGCCGCCGTTTCCGCAAAGGCAGCGCTTGGATGTGCCGCTGCAGCTGCATACCGCGATGTCTGCGGGGTCGTGGAAGAGGAGGATGTGGATGAGGAGGAGGAGGAGTTGGACGCTGGATTAGAGGGTTCGTTGTGTCCCAGATCGCACCCACTTACCGTGGGCACATCATCCAGATCGGGCTGCTGACTTTCGCTGGAGTTGGAGGAGCTGCTGTCCGCCTGCTGCCGCTGATGTTGCTGATCCTTCAGCGGCGAGTGCCGCTTGACCAGCTGATTGCCATGAATCCCCACGCCAAAGGCGGAGACGGGAGGAGGAGAGAGGGGCAGGGAGCTGATGGTCTCCACATCGGCCACATCCGCCGTCGTCGGCGTGGAACTGCTGCTGTGGGTGCTCAGTGTGTCGGTCTGCTCGCCCGACTCCTGGCGATCCTTCCTTCCCTTAGTTCCTCCCTCGGAATCCTCCTGCTCGTAATCCTCCGGCTCCTCCAGCTCAAAGCTGCTCTCCAGCGTTTCGCTCTGCCGCTGGACATAGTTCCGCCCGCTGCGCATGGTCACCACTGATCCCTGATCTCCTCTAGCTGCTTGTCTTCCTATTCGTAAATGTGTCTGGTTTTCTGGGCTCTGGTTTCACACTTATTTCCATTGCCACGGGTCCACGAACATATATGTAGGGTGATTTATGATGCTTTTTGGTTCTGTTTCTTGGGGATGCTTTCCGGATTGTCTCTCCTCACCGCTTATCTCCTCGTTTATCTTATCATTTGTTTGACTTAAACACAATGTTTCCGCTGCTACTGCTACTGCTGTTCAGTTTGGAGGCACTTTTCTAGCTGCAATTAAAGTTGGCCAACCGATTGCCGTTTACTCATTGGTTTTCACTCGAAATACGCGATTTGCTTTCAGCTGTCCACCCGGGGGAAGTTCTTTATGGAGATCGTGTATCTATAAGACATAGTAAAACCTCAAAGTGAAGGAACCTTACTATATTTTACTAAAAACTATTGTTAATGGATATAAAAGTTCATATTTTGATTAATTGATTTTGTTTTTTGAGAAGAAAGTAATCTTGATTTTAAGAATTTGAGATCGTATCGATCTTAACATCATCGGAAATAATAAAATTAATTTTTTTGATTGCCACATTTTACTAAAAACTCGTGTTGATTTTAAGTGATTTTGTATTTCTAGAAAAAAGTATTCTTGGTTTTGGGAATTTAAGATCGAATTGATCTTAGGATTGTCAGAAATTTTTTTTATTAATCTTCATTTAACTTATAATATTTAGATAACTGATTACTAATCCTTTAAGACGCCACAAAGTATGCTTTTTACTTCAATCTGAATCTGTGTTATCCACATATTTGCTTGGCCCAGAAATATAAAGATCGCGCTAAAAGCCAATTTGGCCCCGCACTTAATGCCATTGCTTTGTGGCGATTTTAGCACCCCGGTGTAAATCGCAGCCACAAGCTTGATTATAGGCTCGTAAATAGATCGATCAACATTAGCGAAACGAGCAGCAAACCGAAGCAATTTAAATCGAAGCACATCAAAGTGAAATAAATGGAAAATCAAGTCTGCTTGGCGATTCACAGCAATTTCAGTTGGATAGAGATGTGTTTTTCTTTTCTTCTTTTGTTTTGTAAATTATCCGGTCTGCAAATCGTGAAATAAACACACATACCCGGCGATTTTTTCTATATTCCTGAACTCTCACTTTAGTTCACAACAATTCTTAAACCGCGAATATCAATCGTTCAAATTTTAATTAAATAAGCACAAAAAAAATCACCTAGAATTTTGACAAACATGTGAATCAAAAACATCTCCAACTCTGACAAAGCTGTTCATATATCTCGATTGTTTTTACCCCCAAAAAAACCGGGACGTCTGCTGCGTTTCAATGTTCGCGACTCACTAAGTGGATCGTTTGGGACGCTCCAGTTTATCAGTTCTCTAGTTCTCTAGCTCTCCAGTTCTCCAGCGAGCGGAAGCTCCACAAAACCGAGAGAACCTCATGTGTCCACCTGCTGTGGAGCTTATTTAGAAAGAGCCACAAAAAGAGGCACTCAATGGAGAAAAGAGATGGATTGCAAAGCAAGTAACGAATTGAAATTAACCATTTTTTATGTTTTTTAAATATTTATAATCTGGAATTTATTTGTGGAATAGAAATGAGTAATACATGTTTTACTTTTTGGAAAAACAATGAGACTTTTGTTTTTTAAAGTCCAAAAAAATGTATAATTAATTTATTAAATTGTATAACTACACTCAAAAAAAATTTTAGAAAATCGCCTATGGATTTGCTTTACTGGCGATTTTTTTCTATATTTCTGGAATATTTCTTGAATTTAATGAATTTTGATTAATTGGAAGAAAATTTTCTTTACCAGTAGAAAATTTTTTTATTTTAAAGAAAAAAATCGCCAGTGAAGCAAATCCATAGGCGATTTTCTAAAATTCAGGGCGATTCATTTTCTGAGTGTAGGGTATACAGAAATCGAACATTAATTGCAAAGCCCACACATTTATTGCCATTATCTAGCCATCCAAAATTGACAATTCTATTAACCACATCAGCCGAAAGTGCCTCTCACGTAAGCAAAAGTCTACATGGTGCTACGGGGAGCCATCATAAAAAAAGCCCAAAAGTAATTGTCGCACATATCAAATAGATGAGCTCCACACAACAACGATGATGAAAGTTGTTTCTCGCTAAAAGCAAATGAGAAGCAGCGGTCTGCAGTACAATGGAAATGTTTTTGCTACCCGAACCTCATGGAATTGATTGTTATCTGGCCTCTCGTCTCGGCAATTATGCTCTGACTACTTGTTTTGGCTTAACAAAGTACCGAAAAGATGAGACGAAAATGTTCTGGGCACAAATGCCATAAAGCATGTAAATATAATAACGTGTGACTAAGTAGGCGAATAGGGGGTTTAAGAAAAACTAACTGATAAAAAGTGAAGGTTACAATATAAATATAATGTGGTTTGTGTACAATTATAAAGTGTACTGAAAAATAGTTAAATGATTATAAAAACATCAATATCTAAAGCTCTGTTTAAAATAAGTGAGGATAAAATCTATTCTATCGATCTGAAGATTAACAAATCTCAAATTCTCAAGATCAAGATTCTTTATTCATCTTATATAGGAAACTCAAGAGTGTTTTCGTCTTGATTTCAAGAACATTTTTTCTCGAATAAGAATAAGAACATTTGATTTTGGCTTTTTTTTCTGTTCTCAGTTCTTCTAAGAGATTTAAATACTTTTTATATACAAAATTGATAATTATCAGCTTATAAACAATTAATAAAATGTATATTTCAAAATGTTCAATATTTTTCAAAGTTCTCAAACTTAACTACGCATAAACCTCCGCTGTCCGTCGAGCGCTGTGCGTGGAATTAGTTGGATAAAACCCATTTAAACTGACCCGAACTGAGCTCGAGACCGCTGTGCATAAATCATGGTGACGTGGCTGGTGATGACCTGACCGCTAGACCGCTGGTCAGTCAGTCCGTGAGAAGCAGCAATCGGGTCAAGTGCAGGCCGGCGAACGCTCGGCACAAATTCAATTTCCTGGCAAACGGACAAAAAAGGATTGGACTTGGACTAAGCAATCCTGTTGCAGGACAGCCTGTTGTCCGAAACGAAGCGAAGGAAACGCCAGCTGCCAAGTCATCGCCAATCAACGGGAGAATGAATGAACAACGGGAGGATCTAGGAGTTCCATTGAGTTCCATTCACATGGCTGCATGTGTCGCATCAAAAGGCATTAGGAGCGACCTTGACAGGAGCAGCAAGGCAAAAAAAAAAGGGAAGGAGAAAAGACTGGGCTGAAAAAAAGGAAAAACAAACGGACAGGCATCCGTTTTGGGGGCACAGCACAAAAAACAAATGAACAAAATGAAAAACAGACAACAAGTCCACCGATGGCGTAACGATTTGGCAACAAGAGACATGCTGGAAAATACATTTCCATGTTTTCCTTTCATTAATGTCACAAAAAAGAACCTAGCGAATTTTTAGTCGCTGGGCTGGGCTACTGACTACCGACTACTGCCAAATTGAAAAGCCGGCTAAAATGGGATGTGAGCTAACCACTGGCGGGTATTACGTGCCCTCAAATGTAATTCGTAGCGAATTTTGTTTGTGTTTTAAGGTTTCTGCTTATTTTTTTTTGCTAATTAATCTTGCCGGTCATGGGCAATCAGTCGGGGGAAAATTCCATATGATGGTGAAGCAGCGGCCCAAAGGACATGCAAAAAAAAATTAAAATATATAGAAAAAGGTTGCCAAGGTCAAGTTGGGGGCCAACATTTCACCAACCAACGCTATTCGTGACCCAATCTAAACTCCATTAAAATGCATTTAGCTCCACAGTGAGAAAAGTACAAAAGTTGCTACAAAAGTTTAGATTTTATTCCATGTGTCAAAATATGGCTGTGAAGTGTGAACTACACTTTTTTTTAAATTTCCAAAAGTAACTTTAACATTATTTTAAATTATATAATACCAAGTTCATTTTAATTTTGATCAATTAATGTAAAAATTTAAAATTAATTAACATAAATTCTATGTTTTTGTAAAAATTATATGACTATTTTGTATTTAACTACTTTAATTTTCAGCGTGTAAAAATATAAAATGTGCAAAAAATTCCATTGGATTCATAAATCAGCAGTTTTATTCAAATTTTTTAGATTGTATTTTTGTGGAGCTATGTACATCCCCATTCCTTCCTTAGAAGTTCTGCGCACGTGGCGCTCTTGATTTCGATTTGGATTTCGCAATAGGACCAAGACCACCAGACACAATGGCCAATAACTGGCAAAAACTCCATTGTTGTGGCTTTATTGAAAAGTAGGCCAAAGCCCCAAGCACCAAGGACGCGCGTTGGCAACGCAGAAGTTTGCCTTAAAGTGGAATATCCTGCTCCCCGGCATTTCTCCGGTCTTCTCTTCGTCGTCCTTTCAGCCGTTCCACATGCCAAAGTCAAAGATTATCGCGCGTGGGCGGCTGGCAGGTGGTGTTAGCAGGTGGAATCTCAAGCAGAGGACTTTCTAGCGGGCGGGAAACACTGTCGCAATTTTAATTAAAAATATTCCAGCAAGCCTGACGGCACACAAATCAATCAGCCGCTCTTTTGGCAAGAGTAAGCACCCCGAAAACGCGGGGTATTAAAAGCAAACAATGAACGGAATCCATTAAATTTCCTGTATACCTGCTTCTATCTTGGTTTATTGTTTTAAAAGTTGAGGCAAGGGATTTGGAGAACGAAAAATAACTTAATTTCAAAGGGAGAATTTATAGAAAAGTCATCTCTAGAAATTATTGATTACTGCTTGGATTAATTTCATATTAAGTTATATTTTTAAAGCACTATTTAAAAAATATAATTCTAATGTTTTCCAATAATAAATAGTTTTGTTAAGAGATTATATTTTATAGTATTTCTACTTTCAAGAATACGTTTGTATCATCTATTATTCTAATGTTTTTGGATAATAAAAAGTTTTTCTTAGAAATTAGAAATTTCTCATAACAGTTAAAACTTTATCGTCCTATCCTAAAATAAACTTTATTGTTATTAAAATGAGTTAAAAATATGGTTTTCCAATTTTTCCCCTAACTAACATTCAACAGCAACGTTTTAAATTTCTTTGGCTTCAAAGTGAAACTGAAAACGCGCATGTGGGGACCATCCAACGACCAACGATGCTCTTTCATCTTTCAT